AAAAAAAAAAAAGAAAGAAAAAAGGGGGGGAAAAAGAAAAGAAAAGAAAAGAAAAGAAAAGAAAAGAAAAGAAAAGGATAAAGGAAAGAGGACAGATAGCACAAAATAAGAAAGGAGAATGGAAAAGAAGTGAAGAAAAGAATCGAGACGAGACGAGACGATAGAGAAGTAAGGAAAAGAGAAGAAAAGAGAAGAGAAGAGAAGAGAAGAGAAGGGGAGGGAGGGGAAGGGAAGGAAAGGAAAGGGAAGGAAAGGAAACGGAAAGCAAGAGAAGGGAAGGGAAGAGAAGGAAAGAGAAGAGAAGGGAAGAGAAGAAAAACTGTAAGTGCTAGCCGTGAGTTAATGGGTCTTATACAAGTGATATCAATGCGGGCTATTCGGACCATCTATTTTAAAACCAAACTACGCGTGAAAACACTTCAAGTCATCTTTTTAGTTAAGTATCACGTTGTGCGTTTGAGAGGGTGAAATAAGGTACTCAAAATATGGCGCCTTTTACCGGGAGTGGCATACCACTTCGTATACACACTAGTAAGAGTGTGTTTGTAACATACGTTATAGGATACCATATGCGTAGCGAGAAATTGCCAGATATGCCATACTATGTACTTATTGACTGAGTGGGAGGGCCGTACGGGAAAATATTTGGCCCGAGGTGATGCCCTCACGGACCGAGCGCAGCGAGGTCCTTACAAATGACCGAGAGCCAAATATTTTCCCGTACGGCCCTCCCACTCAGTCAATAAGCATTTTAACATATGACCCTCACGAAAAGAAAAATAATTAAAAAAAAGAGAGCGCGCGGATTCGAGCAGGCCTGCCCTCTCAAAGCCGTACGGCCCTGCTCACGCTATTTTCCCGAAGGTTTTTCTAAGAGCGCGCGCCCAGGCAGATACGGGTCACGTGATAAAACATCGTATAATATCCTAACTATTAGTTATAATATTCATTCATTCATAAAGATACCCGCAGTGTGTTATTTAAAGGGGGACTAGCTTGTACATCGTCCGAATTTTAATTCAGCTGAAATTTTACTGGAATAACCCTTAAAGGTCTAATAATCACTGGTTAAAGT